GTGCCAGCCAGGAGCTCACACAGGGTGTTACCTACACAAGAGAGGTCACTCACTGCAGAGTGACCCTGCTGATCTGGAGGGCTGGGAAGGCCAGTTGGTGACTGCTCATCCTACTGAAAAGGCCTGGTGGGTTCAGGGTTGGCAGTCAGCATTTGCAAACACAGGAGAAAACTTGCACCATTGCATTCTTATCCACAATCTTCACCACTGCTAAACTTAGTGCATGTTTGAACTTGTCCATTCACCGCTCCTGCAGAGCTGAAAGGACGAACAATATGAAATATCAGAGGCCCTACAAAAACCATCATTACTGAGTTAGACTGCACTGGACCACCAGAATTAGGGCTTTAGGTCTCCACTTGGGCAATTAAACCAGACTAACTACTGGAGGGAGCATACACAATTCCATCAGAATCACAGAATTCCCTCTTTGCTCTGCCCCTGAAGGCTTTCATGCCAAAGCCTCCAGGTCCTGTTTCAAATCATAACGACCCAGTGAAATCCAGGGTGCTCAGGAACATGGCACAGGTACAACCAAACTGGGAATGAGATTGGACATTACCCTGTTTGATACAGCTAGGGTAATGGAGAAAGGGATGTTGTCACAGATTAATGTAACAGGAGAACAATTGATAGCAGCAGTGTTCATGTGAACTCCAGTCTGAGTAAGAAAAGTAGAGATACAGATTGAAGTTACTAGTTTTTATACTACCATTTTTGTTTCATGTCATCTTCAATACTCTGTTACTCCATTATAGCACTATAAACTATCAGGATGACCCTAGCAATAACAAATGAAGTTCTTGATGTTTTATCATCAGGATGAAAACAACTTACATGTCTTTCCTCTTCCAAATAAAATTCTTGATAGTCTTTACTTTTTAAATGTTCCAATTGGCTGCTAGTGAGTTCCTCTTTCTGTGTCACTTTGAAGAAAACCTGCTTAGATCAGCAAACCACGTTGGGCAGATAGTATTTTGCTGATACACAGAGCCTGTGCTTGAACAGAGCCTTGTTTATTTGCCTTTTCAATGTTGTGACATTTCAGACATCTCCTTGCAGCCAAACTGCCTGTGTGTGTCATTGTGTGGAGAGGCTGAGATCTGCCTACCTAACATTCCTGCCACTGCTCTGGCAGTGATGCTGTTCATCTCCTGCACAGCCAAACACACCACGTGGGGTCATAATAGCTGTAAAAAGCATAACGTGGTACTGGGCAACTCCAAGGGTGATACAGGGAGAGGGGAAAGACACATCCTTCATACTTGCCAGCTGCAAACTTTGTGGCTGTTTTCCAGCCCAGCCCCTGGGAGAATGAGAGCTGCCTGCATCTCCACACCTCTCCACCTTATGCTTTGGGCAATTATTTACGTACACACTCAACTGTAAATCCCCATTCTGCTAACAGCCTCCAAAAGCACTTTCCAGTAAGAAAAACATGGGCCTTACATCTGTAGATGTCTTCTACTGCACAGTGGAAATGCCAGGAGTTATTCTGCTATCAAAATAAAGGAGTGTCCTTTCTCAGCTCCTTTGGCTACAACAGTAGCATTACTGAACTATCACCTCAGGACAGGATTCTGCAAACACCAGCAGCAAATCCATTGATGATGATGGAAGACCCCAAACAGCATCCAGAGAACGTGCCCCAGTGAGCCACCAGCCTGTCACAAGGGTCAGCACCACTGACAGGGATGTTCACATCACTCTCCTCATGCTCCTCTGTCCTGCACTGCAGGCAAGTGCAAGAAAACAACATTCAAAATACTGCATTAGGAGATAGCTTTGACCCCACGTGGTGCTCAGATGCAAATGTCTCCCCAGGGTGAAAGACAACAGATCATTGGATTTGACAAGCAATTTACACTAATGCTTTCATCTATGCAGAGTTAATTCAATCTTTTCAAGCCTATTTACTGAAGCACTGGCACCCACATGTATCCTGCTGCCATCATTTGACCCATGCTCAGGAGCAGATATGACTTGGTTGCACAATTAAATGATGCAGCAATGCCCTAGTTTAATTTAAAATCTGTGTTTACAGATATCCAGCCCTCACTGAAGTAGCACAGGGATGACACTTGGCTGCTGCTTTGTTTGCTGTACTTCTACCACCTTTGTGGGGCAAACAAATCCTATGGTATGACCAGACTTACTGCCCTTTTACTAAACTTAAAAACAACCTGACTCCCAATTCAAGCATATACACTGCTGAAATAGCACAGCCAAACTCTCCTTGGATTTGAATCCTTGAGACAGAGCAGCCTCTTGCTGCCTGTAGTGCCTAATAGAATTTGCAAATAAGTATTTTTAAAAATGCAGTTTCTACTAATGCTGCAGCTCTCAAAACCACTGAGACACTTCCCACAGAGACATCCATCTGGGGAAGGGTGGGCTCTTTTTTAAAGAAACATGAAAATGGAGTAGCGAAATTAATTATCTGTATTCCTCCCTCCTTGCTCCTGGGCAGCCCCCTGGGTTTCCCCATGGGTCATATCTGGTGTCACTGTCAATGCCAGCCACTGCAGCCCTGATTAAGTCATTACAAGTCAGCCCTTGTTCCTCCACTTCCAGTCAAGAGCAAAGGAGACACGTGCAGGCTCTGGAAGCCCTGAAGTGCAGCTCTGTCGTTGACACAGCAGGGTGAGTGGAGCTGGCACAGACCTGTGGACTCCAGCTGTTTTGGACATGAGTGGTGCCCGTGAGTTGGCTGAGCATTACTCCTTGAGAATGTGCTTGGTTTTCTCCTAGAAGTGCCACGTGGGGATAAGCAAGGACATTATCACAGTGGATTGATTATGCTAAGACCACCTTGCCATGCATGGTATCAGATTGCAAACCCCACGTTCAAGCAGTGCTAGGTTAGAAGTTCAAGCTTCCAGCAAAAATCTAGAAAGCACAAGTCATCCCAAGATCTGGACCCAATTTCTCTTTGAGCAAGAATCTCTGTACATGAAGCCATCGTTTTCCCAAAATTCAAGGGTTACCCAAAGTCCCTCTTTGCATTCATTTGCTTTTCCAATTCTCTTTGCAGGCTTCATTAGAGCTGGAAACACAGATTTCTTTTTGAGACTCAAAGCAGTTTCCTTTGCCTCACCTAAGAGATGCTCAGGCATAATCAAAAATCCAGAAAGAATAATAGGAGGGGATAAATAAAAAATCACCTATCACCTTTGGGAGTCTAAAAGCATGTTATGGCAGCCTGAGCACACAGGGCCTTGTCCCCATCTCACAGCTGGGAAACTGAGGCACAGATTGACACAGTGACTTAGTACAGAGACGTGGCAGGACTGTGGAAATCTCAAGTGAACACCTCAATTTCTGTAACTCTGCACCTCATGCTGCAGGAGCTAAAGAGGCTGTTGTGGAGGGCTGTCACTGCTCACACAGTGCTGGCCCTAACAGATATCCCTGGGAGGGAAAAGGGTTAAAGAAGGGAATTTTGTTACTTTCTTGTCGTATTTTCTCGTGGGGGGAGAAGTGCCATGCAAGCAGGAGTTTTCCACTGGCTAGGCCCCCTTGCACTTATCAATGGGACCTTTCAGGACTCACTCCCTGATTGAGACATCATTTCCTGTCCAACACACTAACCCCATTGATAACTCCACACTTGATGGGAACTTTTCAAACCTACCAGGAAAGGCTGGGACACCCAGAACAACATATACATGAAAACAGAACTGGGGCAAAAAGAGAATGAAGAGAGAAAAAGAAAGAAACAGTTTTGGCCACAATTCACATGCTGACAACAAATGTTTGTGACTAGGGAGCTGTGCATCTTTAGCAGGTAGAGCAGACACAGAGAAGATGCTGGCATACTCTTACTGCAGTGGGACTGGCAGGCCTGGTACTTCAGCTAGAAATGGAGATGGGCACAAGAGGAAGCTTAAGAACATCCCTCTCTTGTCTTCCTGCCACACAGCAAACAGAAATTAGGACTGGCTGTAGAAATGGTCACATTTCACCCAAAAGGCCACGAGGCCATAATAACTAATACAGCTTACAAAACAGCCTAGATACTTCAGGTTTCCAAGCATCAGAAATGAAACATAAAGGGGAGAAAAGATGAAACTAGAGCTCTTTAAGATACCCCAAACAAGAACTTTTTTTTCCTAATTTATCATGCGAAAAGGCTCAGTGTTACTTTTCAGGACACAGCACAGTCAGCTACATCCTCAATACTGACCCTGAGGACTCACTTGATATTGTAACCTCAGCCCAGCTCCAAACCCAAGCTCCAGTCCAAAAATCAACCTTTCCCCCAAAGTTCAAGAGTCTCTCAAACCACAGCTTTTATTTTTACCCAAGGCAATTAGTTTTGCTGCCTACAAAGCTACAATGATACAAAAAAATCAGTGGACCTGGATTATTGCCAAGCAGAACACCAGCCCCAAAACTCCCCCTACTCATGCAGGTGCCTGGGAGAGCTGTGAGAAATGAAGCAGCTGATTCCTGATTTCAGACTTTGGTCAGCAGCTATCCAGCAAGAAAGCTTTTGACGAAATCTAAACATACAGGCACAGATTAGAGCAAAGGAGCTGTACAAAACAGCAGGAGCCAGGACACTGCTGGCTGGGTGGATGGTTAGGAAGAGAGACTGGAAAGTTTCCACTGCAATCTCCATTCCTGAACTGCTGTGGGAGTGTGCAAAAGCTCTGTTGTTTTCAGTTACTTGGGTAGTAGTTTCTGGGGGCCCAAAATGTAGTGCTCTCTCTGTTTTAAGTGCATCTGAAGTATTTAAAATTAGATCCCCTCTTTAATAGGAACCATTCATGAAAATGTCAGCTTTAAATGTCTTTACAGTGCAAGTTACTCACTGTGAGCATACCACCCACTTATCTTATACCCTACAAGGGCAGAGTCTGAAAAGTTTCAAGATCATGACATGCAACAGACCAAACAAGCACAAAGCCTTATTTAAAGGCACTATTAACCCAGCTGGAAACATGATTAGAAGCATGAGTAGAAATAATATTTTATGTTAGACAGGACAGACTTACCTGCAGGTCAAAGAACTTGCTGTATCTCCGGTAGATGATCTGGGAAGTCAGGTCAGACCATGTTACGTTGATGATATAGACCTGCTCAGGGAAAAGAAAACACAAATCAGCCTGGGCCACAAGCACAGGATACATGCAAAGGCAGAACAGTCAACATAGGTTAATTTCAGATCTCACTGGCTGTTCCCACTCACAGTGAGGAATACAGCCCTGGGAGCAGGACTAGCCTAAATTAAAGCATTTTGCAACTTTCACCAGAAATCTTGAGAGAGTACTCAGTGCTCTCCCACACATCCCCATCAGCAGCTCCCACTGGCTTTGCTCTGCCTGGGATAAAAGCTCTAATTGAGCAACACCACATTTTCGGGTCTGTGGTAGTACACCCTGCCTTCTATCCTTTTTGGAGGGTCCCAGGGCTACACAGGCATGGCTGGGAGAGCAATTCCACCCCTGAAGCAAGCAACAGCTTATCATGAGGTGCTGATCTCCAACCCCACACTCCAGGTTGTCTCAGTATATGGAGATGTGGCTGTCACCCTTCCCAAGCAAGGAGTGGCTCTAGTTCAACAGGAAATTCAAAGGAAACGCAGCTCCACAGGTGTTTTGGAATCACAGCCATGCAACACCCATGGATGTGTGACAGAAACCAAGCCCTGCCATGGCACACAGCTCTTGCTGAGTCACATCAGGCCACCCAGCACCTTTGGCACCCACTGGAGGGTGATGTAAATCCGGACAGTGAGAGTGACACTGTTTCCTTGCATTGATGGAAACAGCAACAGAAGCCTGGAAAAAGCCCAGGATTTCCCTTGTCTAACCCTAGTCCATCCCCAAAATAATCCTCTTACAGAAACACTGTTTAGCCAGAAGCTGTGATAAAAAATGATTCGCATACATATACATGTACACATATACACACATGAACTTGTACATATACATACAAATACACACACACAAAAAACGCAAAAATGTTTCCTTTTGACCCTCATACCTGCAAACTATTTTTTTTTTAAGTTAAAAATGGGTCAGGTTCTGCTCTCTCATATACTTGCCCTCAGGCCAATGCTAGTCCTGCTGCCTTGATGACAGATCTGCAACAAGACTTCAGCAAACAGGATGGAGCTATCAAGAATGACCATGCAGCATCAATATAATGAAAATCACAGCTAGGACAGCTCCTGGGCCTTTAAAGCAATTTTCAGGTTTCACATATGCACTGAGATAACAATCTAACAGAGGAAACAGGAAAGCATTCCTCCTCCCTCAGCCACAGCACTGCACCAGGAACTCTCCCTTTTGCCATGGATGCAGAAGTGAAGCTTTCTATCTCCAGCAATGGGGGATGGGTAAGCATCACCCTCTTCTTCATCTCCCCCAAGACACCAGACCATCTTCCAAGCTACTGATTCAACTGCTTCTGTACTTTTACCAATAAAATTATTGCATGAAAATCCCTGGAGGGGTTTTGAATATTGGGCTTAACAACACTTTTCCAAGGACCACCAATGGATTTTTTTTTTTCTTCTTCTTCCTCTTTCCCAGTAGGAGAGGTATCCTCCCAGAAACCACAGAGATCCTGCAGTCATACTTTCCTCTCTGCTGGTTACAACCACATTCAGTCTCCAAGGCAGCCTGCCTCCCATCTCCTGCAGCCCAGTTTCATGGCATTCAATAACTGGAGATGCTGAGTATAGGCTGTTAAGGAGATCTGGGGCCTTTCTCCTTATTGCATCAAACATATTCTGCTCTTCCCACCAGGGCAGAGACTATCAAGGCTGCAAAGGGGAAGACTCCCAGGAGTAAGAGTCTGACTCTCAGCAAATCCAGGTTACTCTGCTGCACCTCATAATTCTCTTGGAAAACCAAACCACCTCCTTACTGCAATGCCCATATACACAAGGGTGACATCAGCACTGCCCTGCTGCATGGAGGGGAGATAAGCCTGTGTAACATGAAGATTTCAGGTCCCTTTAAAGATCTTACCCATGCAGTCAAGGCAGACGAGTCTGAGCCTGGGAAGGAAGCTGCTGTTGCCAATTTTCAGGCCGGCCACACTACACTGAAGAAGATTTTTCCATGTGTTTGTTGTGGGAAAAAAAAAGTTTGTAGCTTCACTCTGAGCTAATTCACACACAAATATTTCTACTCATTCTCTATCCAACAGCTACTTTCAGATGGAAAGCCCATTCGATTAAAAACAGATCTTGACAGATGGGAGCTGAATAGGATCCAAAAGCAACTTCAGATACTGTAATTCTGGCCCTGAGTTCTCACAAAGAGGATGAGACAGGAGGAAAAACATATTGCACATGTAAATAAAGATTATACTTTTTCTTTCATTATGCAACTTTTTTTCAGAAACTAGAAACAAAACACATATGGCACAGGCATCCAGGCATTTTGAATTTCATGGCACTTCAGGCTTCTCGGTGCTACTCCTCAGAACCCACAAAAACTGTGAGTTCCTGACATTTTTAACAGCCTACAAGTCTGCTTGGTCAAAATCTAATGCAGGCAGAAGTCAATCCTGCTTCAAGATTCCAGTTTGGTGGTGCAGTAAGTGGCACAACACATCCATGACACAAGAAGGGGCAGAGTTGGACGCACAGGGATATTCTGGAAAAGAGGCTGGATTTATTTGGTGTAGGGAACAGGTGTAGGAGCAGCACCCCACTGCATGGTGCAGATACATTCCCAGATCTGAAATTCAGGCTCTGTGGGAATGAAGCTGCCACAGACTTCAGTCAAACTAGGATTTTGCTGCACATTTAGGACAGCAATTAATTCTTTTTGAGCCTACGGTCTCCTCAAGCTCAGTAAGTGATGGATGGGGCAGCATGCAGATACACTGACTTCTATTTAACAGAAAGATTACTGCAGAAGCAAGAAAAGCCTTTAATCATAACCTGGTGCTGTGTGGAGTGGTGGAAGACAGGTGTAACATCTAAAACAGCTATTGATCTTTTTTGCTTGTTTACTCAATTCAAATTGCTTCCCAAAAGTCACCATTTAAAATAATGGGGTTTGGTTGAAAAAGATTTGTAAAATGGCAGATTATAAATACAAGGTCTAGAGGTTTCAGAAGCCTTAGATATCACATTTCTCTCCCTTAGAGATCTGAGTTTGGAAGTTATTTGCTTCTGCTGCCTTGGTCAGATGCATAGCCTTTTCATGAGCATCAAACATTACATCAGCTTACCTCACCATTTCGGTTTTTTTTTCCTCAGATCTTAAAATGGGTTTCTGTGAAAGTGATTAACAATGTCCCGAGAGAGAGAAAAAAGCAGTCCTGGGGGAGCCCAGGGTCATGCAAACACGACGGGACAAGGAGGCAACAGGAAATCTGGGATAAATAGGGAGAGTCATCCCACGCTCGAGCGCCCAGCAGAGCCAAGGGAAGGCTTTCTGTGCCATCCAGCAACTCCCCAAAACTGAGCCACACAAGCCACCAATCCAACACACAGCTGGTCCTGCCCACAAGAGAGTCCCAGCTCCTTGGCACATTCTGTCTTGATAAAAGAAGATAAAATCAAAGTACCTTACATGTCTTGGAGCAAGCTCTTTCATGTAATACAGTGTTTTCCTACACACAACTAAACTATAATCGAGATTCCAAATTACTACAGTAATTAATTACTACAGGCAAAGAGTCCTGCTTTATGTATCTGCCATGTTTATAGTCATAAAGGAGTCAAAACATAGATGCTATTCAAAACCTTCACCTCAAAAAAAGGTCCTTAACAACGAATGAAAATTGAAGTACAAATGGCAAACAATGACAGCACAATCACTGGGTGCTCCAGCCACTACGAATGTTCACTTTTTAATTTCCCAAGTCCAGTCTTTTTTTGATCTATTATTGTATTTTGAAATAAATCCTTCTTCAGAGAAGCAAGAAGCAGGCCTTTAAAGACTGTAGAATATTAATCAGGAACTGAGCCTGATAAATAGCTCTAAATATTCATGGCTTATGAAAGAAGGTGCAGGGTGCCAGGGGGATTTTATCAGTTGCTAATTATTGTTGTTTAATTCTAGCTCTGGGAAACTTCTACTTTACCCATCATAAAGCAGAAAATTTATTGCAAACTGAAGTCATTGCTCCTCTTTTACTGCCTACACAAGAAATGAGGAGAGATGACTTCCTACTACAAAACACATCCACTCTAACGTCACTGGGCATGACCTTATCGTTGACTGTCTTGTTTTCAATGGAAAATACCCAGTTGTAGCCAGCACAAACCCCAGAGGTAACAAATTCAGGTTATTCTCATGTGACTGATTTTTCAATTGTTTTTTTAGAGGCTAATGTCTTGTCATCTACAGCCAGATGAGCTGGAGTGGAAGACAAATGTCTGAAACTGGTTGTCTGATGAAACCAAGATAAGAACATACACTAATATAAGAGCTATTGGCAAAGAGAAGGTTGAAAAGCAGAAACCAGAAATATCCCTGCACACATAAGAGAGGGTGTTGTTAACCTCTAGTAAGTAATTACAGTAAACACCAGCTATTAAGAGAGGTCTGTGAATGCAAAAGACAACACTATGGTGCAGTTTGTATGCAGATACCATCATAACATCCCCTTTTATCCTGGACAGTGTCAGTTTCTTCAAAGACTCCTATTAAAGTGTTGGCTGTTTGTCCTCCTATGAATCAGGTTTGAGTTGGATAAGATACTCCTTCTCCCCTGTATTCAGATGCTACCACTGCCTGTGAGCTGGAAGCTTTCCACCAACACAGCTCAGCATGTGAAGGCTCCCTGGTCCACTTCCATGCAAAGTCAACTCAGCTCCTGCAAGGCTTGCAGCAATTTCAGCTGCTTCATTTACCTGGCGGAGTTTGCATTAAAACAACTTAAACTGCAGCTAAGTCAACATACATCTGTGCCCTAAATTACCAGAGTACAGCCACTGCACCAACTCACTGTTTGCATAACCATTTTAACGTCAAAGATGTGCTGATGAGCACAAATTGGTGCTGGCCCAGATCCAGACTTGAAGTGATATCAGCCTAGAGACAACAATTTTGGTACCCACAAGAGCTAAGCTGCAAAGCTGTTCAGCTTCCTGATGCAGTTTGGT